CAAGATATATGTATATACACCAATGAATGAATCCCAACCTGTAACTATAGAGTGATGTATTCAGAGCCACCAGAATTACGACGAGAAGGTAAGCAACACCGAAGTGGACAGGTCTTCTCCTCAACCTGAAAAAGTATGAAAGGCAACACCCCAGGCTGAGAATGATGGAATCTTGTATGCCTTTCTCAACCTACGAAAACCATGTGGGCAAGGGAAATTCCACTTGCCCCCAGAATTATGGGAAGGATGTGGAACAAATTGTGCTCAACCAAGGACCCAGGATGGACCCACTCTGCATTTGGAATTAGAAGGAGACAATGGACCCTCTTCTATGAACAATGTACTAAACCAATATTGATCAAAAAGAAGGGTCACTCTCAACCCAACCTGATAGCCTAGCATCAAATCTGAACTAGTATTATGAGTAGGCTCCTGCTTCTCCTACCAACATCTGGGAAAAAAAACATCCAGGGACCCAGGTAGGAGGTCCCCCAACTTTGCCCTCTTCTCCAAGAGTGGAGGAAATTCACTCTAATGCTCTGGAGAAAAAGCTTCTGTCCACCACCCCAATTACTGGAAACTGGGTGTGGTAAGGATTCCCTAGTAGAATCTGGGAGGTAATGTGCATTATGGAGTCCAGAGGAACAGTTCAATAGGTGAACTAAGTTCCCCGAATTTTTAAAAGCAAACCGACCCCAATTTATTCAATCTAATGATTGGCAGGGAGGAGCAGGATCCCCTTATGCTTTAGTCATGATAGTACAGCATAGTACAGTGATACCACCCAGGCAGCCTCTAAGTGGTCTTATAGAACACTTCATTTCTAGAGAGCCTGTTGCAACCTAGATAAAGTATATTGAATTAGTGGTTTCTAGTGCAGTATTGGTCAGATAGAAGCACACCTGCCTCGGTAACACTTGCCACAGAACTGGATCCTGTGAAAACGAGGTAAGGTACCCTGAAAGGTAAAGTAGAGACAAGTGTAGCAATGAAAATACACACCCCTCTGTAACATCTAGTGGAAGTGGTTAAGATAGCTACAGGGAGTAGTCAAACACCCTCAGATGAAGATACTGCCAGATCATGTAAATAATGTGAAAAAACGTATTTGGAGAGGTCCACATACCAGTCAGCACAATGTCCTCCAGCTACTAAGTACATAAAAATGTGATGAATCTGATTAGATGTGACTCGCAGAAGATTCCTCGCTTTCAAAGACAGCCCAGAATAAGCAATATAGATCCATTTTGTACCCATCTTGTCAATGTAACCAGATATAAATCCTAGGAAACTGTATGATCCCAATGAATAAAAAGTCATTGTCTAGAATCTCTAAAGGCATTAGTGGAGGCAACAAAACCTCCAGGAACCTCAATGTACATAAGAAACTATTAAAATCTGATCTGTCATAGAAGTGAGAATTAGTGATCAGATGAATTGGTGAAAAGGATTTCTTCTCTTCCGTGGCTGACAGTATCTTAGGGAAGAAGAACTGGTCTGAGGATGTAGGTAGAATGATAAAGCATCCTGTGGGCAATCAGCACAAACCACTCTGACTGGCAATATCTGTAGGTCAGCAGCAATGAAAAATAAACCTTTAGGTAATGATGATACATGGCATATGAGACTAAGGTCACAAAAGGGTGTTGAGAAAGGGTATGCAATGTAACCTTAAAATACCAGTTAGGGAACTGGAATGGGCATTTGCAACAAAGGATCAAAAGCAGTTTGAGGAAGTTGGAGAGTTTCTTTGTTTTTGAATTTCACGCAAAGCTACATGAGAGCTATCTGCCCTAACCATCCCTAATTTAGCAATGAAAGACTAGAGGGAAGGCAGCTAGTCATCACCACCCACTCAAACTCTTGGGCTACTCTTTTACCAATGAATAATGGGATTGACTTCACATTATAATGCCCCCATGGCTGAAAGGGTGAGCATGTTTTGGCATCCGGAGAGTACTGGGACTCAAAGAAATTTTATCTTGAGTATTGAATGGTAGTCAATAAGGCTATCTTGTACAGGGCAACTGTGGAATATGCAAAATCCTTGCGAAAGAGCCATGTTTGAAACTTTAGCTTCTAGATAGCTGGGTATACCATGTCAGATCATAGCTGCCTCCACATAGATGTCCAAAGAGAAAGTGGAAGATATAGGCACTCCTGAAGGTGCAGCAGAAACCAGGTTGCAGCTACCAATCCAGTGCTATCAACAGGACCCGATAATGAGTTGGAACAAATCATAGGGAAGGCCTAGAGTTGTAATCCCATCTTGTCTTGATGGAATGCATCCATTGCCAAAACCCAAAGGTGAGGCAATGGAGTCCATATTTCCTATAGTTGAGTGTTCCAATGAATGGCCAACCCACCAATCATCAGTGTTTCAAAATGAGAGCTAATCCAATATAAAACTGTGTGGTGCAACATCTATTCTGTTGGGAAAATGTATTTGGGTCGAGACAATTGATCTGCTACTGCAGTCAAGATCTGTGGAACATGGCAGGCTAGTGCAGTGATATGATAAGAGTGGTTCTGAGAAAGGAGATCCAAAGTTCAAAAACAAGGAGCTATAGACCAAGTTCCCCCCTAACAGGAAATGCAAGACACCACCGTGGAAGTGTCGGAGACAAGCCTGACAACTTTCCCCTTAATAAGCCCAGACCATGAGGCATCACTTTTTGAAGAGCAAGAAGGACTGAAACATTGTGTAGGTAAGCCTCATCATCCATGCATACATTCTGGAATTCCTGACTGCTGAGATATGCACCCCATCAGTGATGCAAGGCATTTGTGAAGAGATGGATCTCCAGATGAGGTGGTGGCAGAGGAACCCATATCTTAGTATTGTCCCAACTTAACATCCCCACAAGATCGAAGAATGATCCTGAATAAGGAAACTGGGGAATCCAGTGAATCAATGTTTATGATAGTGCAGATAGGAGCCAACTACACTGAACTTGGACATTCACAATCCTAGTAAAAAATGCCAACTCAGATTGAGGAGTCACTTGTGAACCTTGGAGAATCTAGGCATTGATATAGATGAGAAAGATCGATGACTGAACAGCAATCTTCTGTCTTCTTAGGCCCAACAACTAACAGGAATAAAACCCTGGAAGAACTAACACGACTCTCTCTACACCCAGACCAACCAAACTCTGATAGTAATATAACTAAGTTCCAAAAACTGAGGATCTGTGGGAGATGGAAACTCTACAGGTTGGGTGGATAATGGTGGTGAAGACGTGAACTGAATGACTAATTCTGACTCAAGGACCAGTAGACATTATGTAGTGCCTATGGTTAATGTTACCACATGTCCAGAAATTCTCAGAGCCAGGCCCCAACAGATCCAAAAGGCATACAATAATCACCTATGCTGTTGGCGGCATTCCGACCGAGCAGCAGAACCCTTGCATATGGACAGAATCTGTTCTTGGCACCAATGTACCGAAGGGCTGATGTCAGGACCCTCGAATAGGGGTGTAACTATGACCCCCCCTGTAGGAGCCAATGAAAGTTGAGATGCCAACGACAACAAGGATGAATGAAGCTGACAATTGAACCAATGTGCATGTTAACAATGGTTCCAGCATGTGATCCATGAAGTTGATGATCCTGAGAATCTTCAAACAAAATTTTGTGTCAGGAAAACAACATGTTGAATGTTAGAGTTGTAAGTCCGTACACTTACTCCTGTACGGACAATGATCTGATCAGATTAACTACAAACTCCACCTTAGAACCCCTAATTTTGAGGAGCAGATGTATTATTTGAGAGTCGAAGTATGCTTCATAGGCTAAATCACGTAGTTCTGACAATTGTGGCAGATAAGACATAGCTGTCCCTTCACATAACTGATCAGTATGCTCCCTGCATGAACCACAATGTCTGTGGATGGAGAGAAAACTAAGTATTCGCTCCCAGATCTTTCAGCCATAAAGTAAGGTACAGACTCAAAAGCAACTGGGAAAAGACCCAAAATACCACACTTTCGATGAACCAAATGAAGAAAACAAATCAGAGACAGCTTATTCCAAAGTGGCTTCCTCCTTTATTTCTTTTAGAGACTGTTTTTATTACTGTTGTTTGGAACAACATTTTGTCAGGTACGTTTGTTTGGTTAGATCAAAGCAACATTGGGCTATCTGGTATGTCCACTATAGTGTTGTAAGTCTGTAAACTTACCACTGTCCCACAGGGTGACTGAGAAGCCAAAAGAATAAAAGAAGGTGCAGGAAAAACCGATTCAAAATTCTCTCCAGAATGTCCAGGATTGCCCTTAATTGCAGCCTCAGAGCCCACTGGAGGAACTTCACAAAACTGACAATGTCTCCATCTCACTACAAAGAAGGTTACTGACAGTTTCAACCAAGAGTGACCTGATTTGCCTCTGTGCCGGAAATAATCAACCCGGGAATTCATACTGTATATTGACTTACCAATTAAAAAAATTTTTTTATACAAAAATCAACTATGTAATACAAAGAATGCTCAAAGTAGTTTGAACGATTGTAACACTAAGAGACACTTTGTCAAGAAAAAGTGATAACTATCTGAATGAGGTGCTTATATACAGTACAAGGATAGAGGATGCATTCAGATAGGTGGAGAGTGTCATAAGACAAGTATCGCCAAGGGCAGTTAAGTGGGGTTATAAAAGACTGGAGCAAACAAGAGAAAATCAGACAAATGCTTAGATGGGCAAGAGTTGTAGTGTGAGAGAAGGTAAGTATATGTTTTGAAATCTCAATAATACCAGTTAAACGAATTTCATCACTGGTATAATAAGTTGTGAAAACCTAAATTTGTACTTTGTTAATTGTTTCATGCTAATTAGTATAAAATTGTTAGCTTTAAAATATTAAGTGGTGGCTTAGTTATTTAAGATCCTGAGGATCAATACTGCTTGCTATATAAAGGAATTTTCAAAGAGAATTAATTAACAGGATAACTTTATTCTATATATTTTTCATAAAAGTATAAAGATATATTAAATCAAACTAGTTTGTCTAATTAGCATACAAGTGATTTAAGTTGGGTTACAGTATATATGTAAAGTTTGTTTTATAATGATACACTTTCTTTTCTTTCTACCGAGATATATATATTTATTTGTAACATATACGTGCTGTGCATTTTTACTAGGTTAGCAAGCTAGAATGTGTTTCATAAATATTCAGCTGCTTCTACTTGAGATTAATTTCTACAACTTAAACTATTAAGCTGTGATATCACAAAATCACAAAGTTTCTTGTAGTGGAACAGAATGAAAGCAGAGAACTGTGATCAATGAGGTGGTAAAAACATTCCCCATGATAGAACTAAGATAATGGTCAAATACAAGTAGAAAAGTAAAGTCTAAATTTAGCAGTGAAATTTCCATGTGACAAAGTTTAGAGCTTTAATGTTGGTAAAACTGGACCAAAGGTGAAGCATGACAACTTGAACCATGTCATCCTAAAAGAAGAAAAAAAATTCTTTAACTAGATGAATAATATTTATGAAATGATAAAGGAAATATACTTCCTGGAAATTTTTTCTGAATAAACCCAATAACAAATCTAAATATATTTGTCATAAAGCAGAAAAAATATGTACATTGAATACAACTAAACAAAATCTACAACAATAAATTAACACCTACTTATAGATATACAAGTCACTGCTATATCATCAATGTTGTTTGAAGTATTAGAGCTTATTAAACAATTTAATATATGATAAACACTGATTCTTTCATTCATTATTATTTTATAAAGTTGGACAAATTACAAAATGTAAAAAGATGTTATCACAAATCGTATTTTACAAAAACTGATAACCTGTTAAGAATCCACTAAGTATTAAAATCTCAAATGAATACAAAACTTCAGGAATGTTTAAATTAGTGATTTAACTGAATTAAAGGTTTTCACACAATTAAACCATAACAATTATTCACTCTGTACGTCTACAAAGTATTATATGATCCACACATGACTTGTATAAGATATATAACTGCAGTAAATGATTTTAAAATATTTAATTTATGATATTTCATATGTACTATAATAACAATATACGAATTAAAAAATTGAAAGTAATTTTAACACTAATAAGAAGTGATTTGTAATAACAGTTAAAATGGATAGGGAGCTTGCAAGCATGGTACAATAATCTATAAATATAAAATCTTAATAAGAACAAGCAACATGAAAAGAAACAATGGTAATTAAAAGAACAGAATAGAAATAATAATATATATTATGCATAAGCACCATCGCCAACACAAACATTCAGTCAATGCACCCAGCAACAGGATACAATGTACTATACTATTTATACTAATAAATTAATCATTGAATGAATCATACTTGAGTCAAGACTTAAAGCTCAAATGGATCAATTAAAAATGAGTAACTTATATAAAAAGGATGCAGGAAAAATATTAATACATTATTCTATTTTGTTACAAGTTATTTAACAACTGCAGCTAAAACTTATTTGTGTATGTTAAGTCCTAATGATAAAGTCATAGATTTTGTTTAGAGGCCATGCATGAATGAAAATTAGATACTATAGAAATATAAATAAACAGGTTTCTCCAATAAAAGTTTGTACTTATAAACCATGGTATGTGTTTCTTTATCATGCACCTGCAGGACTATATAACCATTAATAAAAAATACAAATATTTTTGTAAGTTTTTACTTCTTTTCTCTTTTTAAGTTGAATTGTGTTTACACATCAATAGTAAATTTGGAAATACCTTTTATTCTTTTATCAAATTGTCTTTCAGATGTATATCATAACTGTGAAGCTACTGTTTAATAAAGTTGCAAACTGATACTTATATTTAACAATAAATAAATTGTTTTATAGCTCAAAAGTGATTACTAAACCTTGGTATTTAAAAACTCGTTTCCATGCCTCAAATATGAACTTTCTATGCCTGAAAAATAACACATACACTTTGCTTTAAAAAAATTTATTTTGTAACATACAAAATGCTTTGCTTTGACTCAATAATAAACTGGAGTAACCAGCAGATGAACTGATATGGAAATTTGATATATAAGTCAATGTCAAAAGTTGTAACATATAATTTTGTTTACATGTACCATAACATTTTTAATGTGAACTTTTTAGTACTTGTACAGTTTTATTATATATTTCATTCAAAAGAATTATCATTCAACTCTCTCAACACAGAGTCATTCAATTTGACTGACCACGTGACCTCTCTGTACTCCTTTAAAGTCTTTATACATTTAATACTTCTAACTATCAATATAGTGTGTATATCTTCACAAAATTTGACAGTTTTTTAGTTACAAGTCTTTCACATACAAAAAATAATATTTTTAGTGAAGTATTTTTAATAAACTAAAATAAAGATTTGCACATGAATATATTGAGTATTTGTTTTGAATAGTCTGTGTGCAAAGTGATTTTAATGTTAACATTAAAAATACTTTTCCTCATCTCAAAAATCTCAAATTTTCTGTGTAATCCCTAAAACGTCCTAAATGCATTTCAAACGTTTTTATATTTATAGCTCTGTAACCAAACAAAATTGAAGAATATAAAAAAATATAGTTCATTTGAGCAGTGACGCTTCTATAGAGAGTAATTTACATTTAATTTCATACTTTTTCAAGATGTGGTGGATAAAATAGAGAAGACAAGATGCCTAGAGAAGATATGTCACAAGTGTCACACTAGGGGAAATTAGGATGTTCTTTAATATTGCCTTTAAGAATTAGAAACTTAAAACTTGTATACTATTAAAATATGGATTATTAACTAAGATTTTATGCTACACTATTGGTGTAACATGAACAAAAAGTAGTTAATAAAGTTTTAAATGTAAGACACTAAACCTTTCTGTCATGCATAGTGAAAGATACCCGGGGCAAAAGAATTAAGAAATACTTTCATTGATAATGTATTTGTTAAGTTTTTAAATTTTTCAAAACTATTACTTTTTATCAAAGTTCAAAATATATGAATATCACAAAGTGAGTTATAACAATAACAATGTTTTAGAATTATCAAGAGTATAATCCATAAGCCAGGGGACTGAAAATAGCCGATCAGTACCACCTGGGGTGTCAAATTCTAATACTTATTTTCTGAAAGCTTAGTATCTATATGAACTGTTTGGGCATGATAGACATCTGGCTATAGTAGCTTTATATATTTTTCACTGCCTTTATATGTATACCTTATGTTCTGTGATTTACTAACTTTGGGGTTCTTCAAAGCAAATGTCATCTCTAAGTATTAGTTCTTACCTTCTTCTGATTTACTTCAAACTTGGCAAACAAATCAAATTGTGTGATGAACAAAAAGCCTATGAAGTTTTATGTTGATATTTGTTATAACTTGGGAGTTATTAGCCTTTTTATTCCAAAATTACCAACTTCTTTGTTTGAGATATTTTTTTGCAGGGCATTAAAATAGTTTTGATTATCAGCTAAAAGTTGGGAATAAAATTGCCAGTAATCATTAATTTTGTATGCTTTACATATGTGCAGCAATTACATAGGAATAAGTGAATTAAAAAACTATTGGGACATTTTATTTGCATATTTTGACTCTATGCATCAAATATCTAATTTTCAATTTTTAGAAAGTTCTTTGTTCACTAAGATGATGTATGGTTTACAGTATAGAAACCCATAACATGTTAAATGACGATTACCTGCATATTGGTATTTCTGTGATCATAAACTGTCATTATTATGAAATTTGTGATATCTGAGATGTTTTAAGTTAACAAATATCACTTGAAATATATTTTTGCATATGTAAAATTAAAAATTGAATTATCTTTTACTTCTAGTTTGATACAGATCAATTTACTTATATTTTCAGAGTCTGATGGATCTCTAGCTCAAGCCAATATAGAGCCCATTGAGAGTGAATCACAAATAACTAACATACCTGTCAAAACAGCTCAAATGACATGCATTATTCACACCAAAGATGAAGACCAGAGCAAAAATCCGATAATATTACAGGATGTTAATTCATGGAAAATTCTATATGTAGAGCAGCAGAAAGTATTGACAGTTTACCTTGTTACTTGACATTGCATCAACACTGAAAAAAAGGAGAAATTTCAAAGATCCAATATCATTGGCAATGTCGTAGTGTTTTCACCTTGAAGAAAACCTTGGATTCATTAGCTTCCAAAGGTGAAAGAACTGTTCAAACCGACACAGACAAGGAAGGTCCAAAATGTTATGGATGACACGCACCAAACATATCAACTGCGTATGACAGTGTATGCATTTTTTGTAAAAAAAACTATATATCTAAAAGGAAAGAAAACTAGAAAACCTTTATTAAAATGCACTACACTAGGTGCATACAAAAAAGTCTGCTAATCAGCTTTAGAGAAGGGAGATGGACAAATACTTTCCATCATAAGCTGGTTGCTGCTGAAGGTCATTACCTTAGAACATGCTATTGTTCTTATACAAAAGCTGGACATTCCTCCACAGAAAACACTACAGACGACTTGAAGTTAGATTCCGATGTCGAATACAGTGAATTGAAGAAATAAGTTTACAGTGACCTCTTTGCTTTCATATGTAACGATCTCTTTGTAAATCCAGAATTTATGCCAGTGTCAGATCTAACAAAAAAGCTGGTAAATTTGATTACATAACTTGGATACAAGAAAATCAAAGATTCGATCAAAAAACACAATTGTTGCAAATTAGATGCTGAGTTTGGCACAGCCCTTCACATCATTAAGGATATATATAAAGAAAATTGATCATACTTCCAGACAATTTGTTGAAAGACAAACTTGCAAAACAAATCCAACAGTTGAAAAATACTTTCAAAACTTACTCATCATAATCAGCAGATACCCAAGCACCGTTGAATAAAACAGCCCTACACTTGTGATCGGACATTGTGCAGCATGAAGTAAATAGTATTTGGCCTCCACAACCATTGCAGATGACTCCAGAATCAGTTAGTCTTCCAGATTTGGTTACTCAAGTCTTATGTACAATATTGACGGAGTTTCAGAAAGGTACCAAACAGTCAAAAAGGATAGACTGTGTAGTGAATTCCATTGGACAAGATCTGCTCTATGCAGTGAGAAATGGAAACAGCTGTCACCAAAACACATCTTGCTACCATACGTGGTAAAATTGTTAACTGGGAATTGGAAGTCATCCAGATTCTTAATAGGCTTGGTCATTCTGTTACTTATACCAAGTTGGAAGAGATTGACACCACTTTATGTCTACAGAAGATAGAAGTGTTGTATTGCCAACAAATATTTTTACCATCCTCACATTGGATAACATAAATTGACTTGATGGTGGTAATGGAGACTTGTCTGCTTTCTTGGTGTCCTATATCGACATGATGGATATAATGCTAACCTTAAACCATAGACTAGATAATTCATTTCTTGCTTGAAAAAATCTTTGTTGTATGGATTTTTGGTATATATATATAAACTAAACATTGATCTTTTCACTCAAATCTTGTGAGACATTAAATTTTAATTTTTTTTAAATTAACTGTATGTTTTTGTTTCACCTAATAACTCCAAAGTTATAACAAATATTAACATCATAGTTTTTTTTGTCCATCACATAATTTGATTTGAGTGCCAAATTTTGAAGCAAATTGGACGAAGGTAAGTATAAGTACCAATACTTAGAGATGATGTTTGCTTCAAAGAACCCTGAAATTAGTAAATCACAAAACATTGGGTATACATATAAAGGCAATACAAAAACAAGCCACTAGAGCGATATGTGTATCATGCCTAAACAGTTCGTATAGATACTAAGCTTTCAGAATACAAGCATCACAATTTGCCACCCTATGCTGTACCGATCACCCTATCTGGCTGATGGACTAGTAGGATAAATCGCAATGTTAGATAAATGTAAATCAAGTTTCAAAGGCTCTAGAATAAATGAGGTCCCACTACTGATCAAAATGCTCTAAAATTGTACCTTAAACTTCTTGCCTGTGACTGAATCTTGAGAAGTACTAAATTACCTATTCTGGTTTACTTATACAAAAAGGTTGACTTTTTACTGAAAAAATTATAAACGTAACCAATAATTTTATGATTCACAGCTAAGCAATATTTCAACAAAGCACATTTTAAGATATATATAAGTAGTCAGAGAAATTCTAGTTATTTCTTTAGAAATGAACAGCTGGGTGCCATTGGATCCAGTGGTTCAAATGTCAAAGACAATTTTGATTTCTTAATTTAAAGGATTTTCACATTTTTTTAAACTTTCTATCACTATGGATATACAGAAAAATTCTTCACATGAAAACGTATAAAAATTTCAAATTACAAACTGGTTATGAATTCCCAAGGCACAACTTATTGTGAATATTGCTGCGGCACATTGGGCAACTGGTGAGTGGTTTGACACAAATCCAGCAGCAGCATACATGACCACATGGCAAGAAAACCACAGCACTCTAAAACAAGACAATATGAAGTAATGTTAATGTTTTATAAGGCTGCAAAATATCATGAATTGAAAAAAAGAAGTGAAAAGTAAATTTTGTTAAGAATATTTTAAAATAAAATTAAAATAATGAGGGGAAAAAAAGTTATTTTCAAAATGTAACCTTTACCATTCCTGTAATAAATATTTAATGGTAAAGTAATAAACATAAGTGACTGCAATGAGTACAGTTACTGAAATAAAATAAGATAAAACTGATTATACAAACTTTTTAACATTATGGATACAGATTATGTAACAAGTTTTATGTCCCCATTTCTAACATAATTATTATATCAATCATAATCTATAAGCACAGAAAGTAGGTACTAGCTCATAGATTTATCAATCAAATTCTTGAAGAAAAAAACAGACAAGTGTGGATCTACTCAACAGTGATTCACATACAGTTTTATATTTAGATTCATAATAATGTGTTGTACAAACCTTATTCTCTAGACACACAACACACTCTGTACTGGTCCACAGTTTTACATCTTGATCTGTTAAAACAGGTGCTGATGGAATGGCAGGTTCTAAAGCTTCTTCTTCTTCAGCAGGAGGGGCAGAGGGTTCTGCTGGAGCTTCAATAGCTTTGGACGGTCTAAAAAACCCACAAATTATGCAATTAAATCAAAAGATTACAATGAATCATATTATTTTTTCTGAATGACAGTGTAAAGACTTAAAAGAAAAAAGTTTTAAATTAGTTGTTAAAAAAAGTTACTGTATTTCTTATTCTTAAAGTTTTAGAAAGTTTGTTTAACCCTCTCGCTATGGGCTTGGTCGATGTGTTACCGACTTTTTAACCCCAAAGTGACCATTAAAGTTTCCATACTATAACTTTTAAGATGTTTTGTGTATCTTCATGAAATTTTGCAAGTTTTCAGTAGACATTACAAGTCTTAATTAAAAATTTGTATGAGAATATATGGAATGAGAGTGCTGACTGCTCTGACTGCAAAGTGATTTTCATGTTAAGATTAAAAATACTTTTCTTCATCTGAAAATTGTTTAATTTCATTTCCAAAATCTCTTAAATCTTGTAAATAAGTATCAAACTTTTTTTCAGTGAAATGTTATATTTCATTTGTTATTTTCTCTACTCTAACTCTATATGCATTCAGTCAGTTTGACTGACATTGTAATCACCATAAAATAATAAGAAATAAATCTACATTACTCTTTTTTCTAGAATGACTTCAAATTGTAACTGGATACTACAATTGTATATTCTAAATAGCTTAAAGCTTGTAACAGTATGTATCTGTTTACACTAAATTTTCTTTTACTGCACTTTGACCTGTGTCTAACTAATAATCCCACCACACAAATTGAAAATCACATAGTGAATGTGTAGCTTATGTTACCGTATTGAATAATGTAATGTACATCTTGTTTGCAAGTATATTTCATGAAGAATTTTTATTAGTATAATTTTTCATTATCTTACCTAATCTAACCTAACAAGTTTCTAATTTTTACATTTCAATTACTGTTATAATAATAAATAAAGAACGTACATGAAAAACAAGAAATAGAACTATTATAATTTATTTGGCTTCCTAACTATGGCATAAGCTTGTCAATATGGCCACCACGAGAGAAACTTTTAAACTAAAGATAAAATAGTCAATACTCTGTACTGAAAACAATGAAATATGTTATTTGATAGATTAAAACTTTTGCTTTCTGTTAGCTAAAAATAATATAAAACCTCAGAGAGAACTATTGGCAATTTGTAAAAAAGAGGATGTGACAAGTGGGCATGGCAAGAGGGATCTGATTTTCTAGTTTATGGCTTTGTAACCAAATAAGATTAAAGGGTATCCAATTTATGCTTTGCCTGAGTAATAGCTATATTATAATGAGCAATTTATGTTGAACTTAATGAAACTTGCTCATTTGTGCTTACGAAACAACCAAAAGTAAAAACAAAAATGAACAGAAGGGTTTGGAAAGAACTACAAGTAATTACTGCAATCACATCACCTGTATTTCTCTTCTCCTTCAACATCAAGCTTTTTAGCTGGACTTCCTTTCTTCTGGTAGTCAAAAATTGCATTCATTATGGCCATTCGAACAGTGCTGTTGGTTACTCCCAACTGATGAGAATAAAGATATACATCAGATAAGCATACCAAAGCATTACAATCAATAACTGTCTTAGGTAGTCCTATGAATAAACTATTGTGAATAAATTTAGTCTAACTCTATTCATTTATATTTTTTGTTTTATTTAAACATAACATTAAAACTAGAGAAAAATAAGTTTGACAAACTACTACAGAACATTTCACAACTAAAATAAGAAGTGTCCTTATCTAGAAAACCTGACATTATTTCAACAACTTGAAATTGTAAAATAACTTTATATTCAAAATACAAGAGTTATAATCTAAATACTTTGCTATTCTTGCAACAAAACAACTTATTAATATAATTTTACATTTATTTTCACAACACTAAGGTCTGTAAAAAATGTATATTTACGTGATCATTATTAAATTAACTTTTCTAGCCTGCTAGCATATCAGGATTACTTCAAGCAGAAAATGGGTGATATCCTATCTATACAATATTTGAAAAACAAATTTTTAAATAACGGGTGGAAATGAAATGCTTTAAATGTTTTTAAAAACAGTATTGGAGATTTATATCTTTATTATGGAGTCAATTTTATTTTGTAAAAAATTAACTTCAGTTAAAATTACCAACATTTATAGAAAAAAACTGTCAACATAAATAATTTCTGATATTTACAAAAATAGTTAATAAAGCCCAAAAAAATACTTTAACACCAATGTAATTAATCAAAGAATAAATTTTTTTTATATACAGTACTTACTTTACTTAAATCTTTTTCAGACATTTTGATAAGCTGGTCGACTGTGATGTTTTTAGTAGCAAACAGGGTGATATAACCTTGAGCTCCTGCATTCACAAATATTTCCTTAACTACTGGGTCCACTGCTAGTTCCTATAAACATCCAATATATTTGTAATCACAAACTGGTTTACTTATTATTATTCAATCTTGGAAATCTAATTTTAAGTTTGTTTGTTTGAAGTTATGCACAAAGCTACACAATGAGCTATCTAGCATTGTAAGTCCACAGAAACATCACTGTGCCATTGAGGGGCCTAATTTTAAGTAACATTTTAATATTTCTTGAAAAAGAAAAGGAAGATTTTTCAATAAATATGAAGAATTCAAAATTAGGTAGCACAAATTAAAATCATTTACCTGTAACTGAAAGTGCTGAACTAAATCAGTTAAATAAGCTAAAGTTTTTTCTATTGAATTTAAATAATGATTAAACAACTGCACTATAACTTGGTGGTCTACAAATTAAAATCATTATTTAAAGTTTACAAATATTCATCTCATTTATATATATAGACACACACACACATATACATATATGAATGATTACATTCTTTTCTGTGTCCGTGGAATAACAAGCCTTCAAACAGTTCATTAGAAAAAACAGTAATAGCATAAAATCACACATGTTAATCACATTTGCATTTTAATAGCTTGTTTATTACAAAGAAATGTGTAACACTGGATACTGTCAATAAGTTATGATTTTCAAATTAATTTTAGTTCAAAGATTTGTACCTGACCTCAGAAGGCATTTGTAATTATTCTAAAATATATTAGCTAGCAACAAATATCCTATTTCTATAGAAAAAAAACAAGATATTGAAAATTTTATCTAATCAATTTCAGTAAGTTTTCCAATAAGTGTATAATCTAATAAAACCTGACAAATCTTGAGGCAAATCCAGATACTGGTAAATTTAAATGAGCCTGAGAACAATAAGTCTATAATTTAATCAAACCTAAAAAACTGTGAGGTAGGTCTATTTATAGTTTATAATTTGGAGATAAGTCTTGTTTGTTCAAAACTCAACAAGCCTTGAGAAAATAGAATTAAATTTCAGAAATTCAACAAATTCTTGAGAAAGTCTGTAGCCTATAACATAACAATAGAAGATCCCAGGGTATGAATCATACGTAGATTCCAGATTTTCTAGACGAATAATTTTAAATTCATCAGGCCTTCAGAAAATGACCATATGCTGATAAGTCTAATGAGCTTCAGAGGCAGTCTGTAATCTCTTTAAATTAAAAAAGTCTTGAGAATAATTTATTTCTGGTTAAGTCAAATAAGGTAGATTTTGGGGAGGACAAGTGGGAAGTGTGAGCAGAGGGAAGTACATATCACAAATACATTTTCATTTAGAAAAATTATAACTTCCAATAAGGTACTCTCCCTCCACTCACAAGATTAGCTTGACTCCCACATTGAAATGGAGGAGGAACCGGTGCAAGAGAAACACAGGCACATCTCCCGGAAGCATCCGGAGAAATTTGTGAGAAAAGTTCTGGACAGACAAATGCAAGCTTATTATTTATATTGACTACATGTCTGCTGAACAGGAGAAATCAATTTTTTTAATAAAGTATTTTTACTAAAGATTTGTCTATGAATTTATGATACCTATACTGAGACAGTCTAAGTGAAAGGTGATTTTTCATGCTATGATTAAAAATACTCCTTATCATCTTGCAGTTTCATATTACACATTTGCATTTTAGAATTTTCTAAATGAATATCAAGTTTTTGCCACTAAAACTATGTTTTATCTCCTACTATCTCTACCCTAACTCTTAACTATAGTAAAATTATCAATGTACAATAAAATTAAAACATAAAAAATTGGAAATAAAATAAAAAATATCTCCTTTTTCTATCTAAAATGATTGCATATTGTAATAGAAAATTATAATTATTTACCTTAATTGCCTTAACTTTTTATTCTTTTCCACCTGCTTTTAGTTTTATCTCTTTTACAATGCTATTAGAATGTGAAACACAATACATCACAGCAGGACACCTTAGTGTAAACAAACGAATAAAGTCAAATCATGTGATCTCACACAAAAGAATTAGGTGAGCAATCCAAATCAGCAATCATGTGGAATGTTTTAATTTTTTTCCATTCAAGTTTTCTTTATTAACCCAATAAATTTTGAATTTTTAGATTTTAGTTAGTTTTGTTAAAAGATGTACAACAAAAAGAAAATATAAATTAAAAAAAACGAAATTTAGCACTTTGCTTATTTGTACTTGGAAATGTACATTGATCAGACTATATTTCTCACACTGTTTATTGTCCCCAAAAGAATTTATGTAGCTTTTAAATATATATAAAAGTATATCAGGCACCAGATTATAATGTTTTAAAACTACTACACCTAATGTGGCTTTCTAAATGAGTGATATATATAGGATAAAATTCCATTACTGCTTGGAAAATCACCTTCACTCTGAACATGTCTACTCTTTATAGTACACTATACGACTTTCATCGTGAAAAATAAATTACAGAATGTAAAAGTGCAATACGTTGAAGTTTGCACTTTCTATTGGTTATAAACGTGTGTGTGTCTATATATTTAATACAAAACACGTGGTTTAGAAAATACACTAAAGTTATTAAAAATGGGAAGAGTCTGGTTTGTAGGTTGGACAACTGTATACAATATAAAATGTTTTTTTCTGTTTAGTATAACAGTTTTGTTCATTATAATTTTACTATTTTACAAATTTGGCTGTTTGAAGATTTCAATAACATTGAATAATTAACAAAAATAAGAGCAATAAACAAAACTTGCATTGTATAATAAAACCTAACTCAATAACTCTGGGATAAAAGGAGATTTGTTCATCTTCTACTACTCTTAACTAACTGATGATGTTGAATGTACAACTAGGCAATTAGAACAATTTGCTAATCAATTAACTGCTGGGCTCATTAATCTATTACATTCAACTAATTAATTATTCTTATATGATACTTGAATAGTTGGAATAATCAAAAATAGTAGCAATAGTAAACACAAATATTGATAAGTTTATTATTTTCATGAATCATGACACTAATAGATTATTAAAGCTGAATACCTTGGATTAATAAACATAATTACAAAAAATCATGCAAGAAATATTTCTATTACTTGGATAGCTGTAATAAATGAAAAAAATTAATAATCAGAAACACTAATATCAGTTAGCTTATTATTTTAATGAGATTAATTACTTGAATAATCAATTATTTTAAGTAACACTAATCAATGTTCATAGATAATTGATTATATCAATTAATGGATTTAATCACCCAGCTCCAAAAATGGCTAATAATTTAATAATCTTGGATAAAAGTAGCCAAATTCAAAAAGTAATTAAGAGAAGTAAATCACCTGCTATAGACATGTTAGAGGTTTAGAACATCCCTAAGCACACATCTGTTCTTGGGAATGATGATTTTGCCCTGGCAAATGCAGGAATAATACAATGATTTGCACACTTAACATTCCACAATCATTTTGAAACTTACTTTGTCGATAAGCTCCTGAGGTTTACGATCCAGTAATTTTTGGAACTGAATCAACCAGTAATCTTGAATTTCACCTGCCCGCCTCTCTTCCATTTCATGCTGCCAACAATACTTGGATATTACTATACTCCAAACAATATATGATATCAACTGGCACATTAATTCTCAGTGTTATTTGTGAACAAAAAAAAAGATGTCACTTCTCCACTAAAAATGTAGTAAGTTCTGTTGAAAATATTATTGTAATTAGACTTAATGAGAGCAATATCACACTAAATTAAAGTAACACCACATGATTTGTGCAGTGAAAAAAACTACTTGCAGACTAGAGAAAAAAGTGCACAATTCAATTCTTAAAGTAGCAAAAGGGCAGTTAGATTACAATAGAACAAAGTTGTAATCAAATGTAAGGGTATAGGTTATGATACTCATAAAAGCCCGTTTTGTTTTCCATGAAAGTCACACATGACTAATAGCAAAACCTTTATAAAATGTTTTAAACAATAATATATGCCTTAAGACATAGCTTATAAGATCATTCATAATATAATAAAATTATAAATTTAAAATAATTGTTTCAACTAAAAAAATTTACACACTTTAAATGATTTGTCAGAACTTTCAAAAGCTAAGATAATTCATATAATGAAATTAGATTGACATACATTAATATAATTTAAGGGCAACAAGTAACCTGTTTGTCCATCTAGGCCATCCCATCTACTAAACAAAACTTTGAAATAAAAATAGAACACTTAAAGCCAACCCTTGTCATTCAAATATTAATCAAGCCTTCTCTTAAATTTATTGCATCAAACCATATCTAAAGGCGACCCATTCCAAAGAACAACCACTATGTTACAAAAATAAAATTGTCTTAACTGAAGATGACTCTTACTCTGCCAAAATTTATATAAAAGGCTCCTAATTCTAACATTCTTACTATTATGTACGAAAGAAGAGGGAACTCTCAACAGCCACGGCACTTGATATTCTTTTAGGCAGGATTAGAGTAAATTAATCTATGAGACCTTTTTTTTTTGGTATTAGATATATTTTTTTTTGTGCCAGCAATACCAAGTGTGGGGCCAGCATATACCTGATTCAATTTTATTACTCATCAAAATCTCTACCAGCCTACCCTCAAATTGAAATTATTTTAGGCAGGATTAGAGTAAATTAATCTATGAGACCTTGGGGATGGTCATATACATCAATTGAAAGGGTTTGACCTACTATGTCCAAAACTGTAATTATATTTCAAATCGGTTAAAAGATGATGGAGCTATGAGCTAGAAGTTCTTGAAAAAAACAAAAAATACTTAGCACTGTTATATGAGCTGCTATGTTGTGGCTAAAAAGATGATGCATCAATGCTATCAATTCCCTTAATAATCTTAAACAACACAATGAGATCCTCTCTAACTCTTCTTGTATCAAGAGAAAACAATTTCAGAGATCTTAACTTGTCCTAACAACCTTTCCATCTCAGGTATCATGCTAGTATCCCTCTTCTGAACCCTTTCTAAATATTCAAAGTCCTTCCTGAGGTTAGAAGTCCAAGACTGAAGGTAATACTCGAAATGTGGCCTAACCAGTGATGAATACAATGAAATTATAGCCTCTTTAGAATTGCATTCAATACTTCTGTAGCTACAACGTAAAATCCTATTTGCCTTGCCACGAGCAACAGTACACTACTTGGATGGCTTTTGACAAAAAAAATAGTAGAAAATGGATCACATATCAAATCTTTAACCTCCTTCAAAACCCTTGGGAAAATATTATCTGGTCAAAGAGCTTTTTTGGTGTTCAACAAAGATTTAGCCTGATAAGAACTGTATTAATAGACTAAAACGTTTTCCTCAAACAAACTCTAATCAGATATATGAACTCACTTCAAACATTTTATGACTTAACATTCCTCTACCTAAAATAGCTCAATAAGAATTATTTCACTAGACATCTTGACCTTTATCCTTCAATGTTACTTGAAAAAAGTTGGAAGTAGAATCACTAAATCATCTTTCAGTGTACGAGACAAAAACAATTAAAATCAAACTTCTAATAATAACTGTTTACCTCAGTAAATACTGGTATCTTATGATACATCTTTGTTTAAGCTTCTTATTCAGAACATATTGTATGTGGTCAAGGTACAGTGAAATGGAAATTTGAAAAATATGAAATAAAATGAATAATATTTTTCCTCTGCACTAACTGCATTATTGACTAAATATTCCCAAATAAGAAAGCAAAGTTTAATGTTTTTATTTCTTTCACTATCCATCATAATTGGTTCTGCTAAGTCAGCAAGACATTCTGCTTTTCTTTGGAGTTGAGAATTTCTTTCACTTTACTTTATGTCTATAAAGCTTCTTTCTGTACAACTGTTACACTCAAATTAGCAACAAATGAGTGTAAATAGCATAAGATAGCCATGCATCATCATGCCAGGCACAAAAATAGTATTTATGTTAATTTTTTATATTTAAGAAAATTATAGTTATTTCTTCTGGTGCAACTTTTATATTTTTCTGATATTCCACACACATTAGGGGAAAATATATGTTTAATTAATCAAAAGATAACTAAATATCTGCCTAATCATAGACATTTTATAAATACAATCTATATTGCCTTTACTAAACTTGAGAAATAAACTTACAATTCTCTTTATCAGTTCTTTTTCTCTGTTTTGTCTCTGTTCATACAGTTCTGCCAAAAGCTGGGCTAGAATTGTCCTTTTTTCTGCCAGTGTGTTCTAAAATATGTAAATTCTCATAAATACCCATACTATAAAAACCACATTTTTAATTTCAGTTGCCAGATTTCATTGTCAAGTTGGTAAATTTATTTGTTAGTAGTAGTCTAAGTTATATTACTTGTTTATCTAACTTCTCTATGCAACTTTCATATAATTCACAATAAAGAGAACTTAATAGTGAGTAATCTACTGAACTGAATAATTAATTCAAAAAAATACAACAACAGAAACTTTTACAGTATGCACGTTCTGATTTTAATAATTACAATGTTTAGACCCACAGTACTGAGTCATCATCAGATAAGGGCTGTATTCAATAAAGCAGCTGAATTTCAGAGAACATTACAGATTCATTTACTGTTATTGTGTTTTTGAATTAACAAAGAGAAGTTTGGTTGAAAGCACTTTCCACAGATATATTCTGACACATCTTTTTCTGTCTAGTAGATGCCAATTTGAATCTATTCTAAATATGTGAGATAAATGGAATATGTCAGTAGCACAACCATGTGGTAAAGCAGGTCAAAACACATTATATGTAAATGGAGGAAAATTACAAGAGTGTAGTATGTGGACAGCACTCTCTCTCATTTTCTTGTTATATATACTTCATTAATTTAAAAAAAATTAAACTTTTTATTCAGAACATACTGTATGTGGTCAAGGACATGCACTAATTCAACCCAACATGTTACTTTCTGCAGCAAGATTCAGCCCACTACTGTTTCTTGGCATGGTATTCTATAATTCTTTGTGAATCTAGAACTGCTGTATGACCTGCTACATAAAACAGAGATACTTTTTGGATAATTGCAATCCAATATCATGATTGGGCAGTTACACAGAGAATGTGGATTATCAGGTCAGTCTTGGAATTTCCAAACAAGTTTGTTTCTGTCTTTTAAACAGTTAAGACTTGCTGTTGGTGTCCTGTCTGTTTTTAAATATTATAAGATTTAACTTGATGAGTGAGAATGCTTTTCAAAGTAAAGTTATATTTCTTTAAGTACAATTTATTTTAACTGTACAGGAATGAAGTTGGTCAATCTGACCAACATCGGAAGTGTAAAATTATATATGCTATAACTCTGAATTTACTATGTATGTTAACAAAATTTGGCAAGCTTTTAGTAAACATCATAAGTCTGTTGTGGACAAAATACAGATTTTTATTTCTACTAAAGATTTGTCTATGCATTTCCAGAGTCTTTAATGAGTGAAAGGTGATTTTTATGTTAAAAATAAAATACCTCTTTTCACTGTACAGTTATTTCATATGCATGACCTCTAGAACCTACTAAATGAATATCAAACGTTTTTTTTCAGTAAAAATTTATATTTTATCTCTCATTTATTTACTCCTAACACTAACTGTAGAAAAATCATCAAGGTACAGTGAAATTTCAAGTTGAAAAATATGAAATAAAATGAATAATATTCTTCCTCTGCACTGACTACATTATTGACTAAATATTCCCAAATTATTTATCTTAATGTGCTCATTAACCTTTTTTACATCTGTTTTCTTTTGATTTTATGGTTTAATTCTCATACTTTTCACCACTGGAGCAGTAGTCCTTGCATAAAAGGCAATGAATCACAGTATGAACCTATCTGCTGTTTCCCACAGAGCTACCATAAACAGCATGTGATCTAGTGTCATATTTTACAGCAGGTCTCAAGCTAGTGTAATGTTTGCTTTATACTTTGTTAGGCTAAGGTAAGAAGTTTGTAATTTTTACATTTTAGCTACTATTATAACATCCTATTTGGGTTTTCTGTGCTCTAACAAAAATATTTGACATTCTCTTCTGAGCCTCGTTGAGTCTCACAAACTTGGGAGTCCAAAAAAATTCAAGTATCTTTTAAATATATGTTTTAGAACACAAAAAATGTATCATGCATGAGAATGGAATGCTACAAAAGTACTATAATTTATTTGGCTTTCTAAATAAGCTATAAATAGGTTAAGAATATTCCATACTGTTCAGAGCACTGAATCTGATCAATATCAACTAAGAAATTTTCACTGTGAAGGATAACCCAGGAAAAATTAAAAGCATGGTTGTAAGATCTACACAGAGAAGTATCTGCTCTTTCTATTTGTTACAAACATATCCCTCAGTCATGTAAAGTTGATTAACAAACAATCTCAAAAGTCAGAGAGAGAGAGAGAAGGGCAGGGTTTTTCTGGTGGTTTTGACAAATTTATTGGTATCTTAATAAATAAAGGAGGTGGGAAGTTCCTATTTTAGGTTCTTTCTTGTAATTATGTATACTTTGTGTTTAAAATTGGCTGGAAATCACAGTAACATATTTCGGAAATTAGAAAATTCTTAAGTAGAGAAATCAAAGTTAAGATGTGTCACGTGACACATGGAAATGAAGTTTGATTTTCATATTTTCCAAAATTTGTTTTGGATGAAGAAGCTAAAACTTAAGTGATATAAAAATTAAGAGCTACATGGAGTTGGTCAAACTGACCAACCGCATAACTACTTGTACTCTATTTAGTTTCCATACTATCACTTTTAATGCAGTATGTGTATCTCCACAAAGTTTGGCAGACTTTTAATAAACATTGCAAGTCTTTTGTACACCAAAAAAACTAGATGTTTTAATGAAGTATTTTTACTAAAGAAATTGTTCGTGAATATATATATACTTTTTTTTTTACTATTCCGAGTGCACAGTGATTTCCACATTAAGATTAAAAATACTTTTCTTCATCTCAAATTTCATTTGCATAATCTCTAAAACCTCCTAAATAAATTTCAAATGTTTCCTTTCAGTAAAAGTTTAAATATTTTATCTGTTATTTTTCTCTACCCTAATTCTATACAAGGTTGTTCCATTTTGACCAACCATGTAACCAAGAAAAACAAAAAAGAGAAAAAAACTCTAAATTACCCTTTTTTCTTTCTAGAATGACTTCAAATTGTAACATGAAACTACATTTGCTTATCCTCAACAGCTTTAAACTTGTAACAGCGTACATCTATTTATACTTAAATTTTATTGTCCTTTGACCCATGTCTAATTACTATTTGCACCATTATGGGTTTTCCTTAACTGTCACTGATGATATTCTACCTGTCTATTGGAGGTATCACACATCAACGACTCCTGCCCAAGCTGAACTAAGTATCATGAAATCATGTGCTATAGACAATTTTTAATAATGTATATTTTTGTTTTGGAATGAATTAAAATAAAGTAATTTATATTATTATTTTATATAATTATTATAGTTATTTTTTGATAATTAATTGAATAGATATAATTACAAATATAAATTAAAACACACAAAGATTATGCAGATATAATCTTTCTTTGAAATGGCAGGGTTTACCAAAATAATCACACTGTTTGTTTTCCTACAAAAATATGTCGGTAACATAATATACGCTTGGTTTTATGTATTCTTTCTATGACTGTTTTATTAATGCACTAAAATCTGTACGATCAAAATATCTTATTATATAAAACAACCTATCTCTAAGTCATAATTTGTTAAGGGCTTTTAGGCTGTAGTGAAACGTTCATCCATGACATTTAGGAAGATGAGATAAAGCCATATCCACTCTGCATTTAGATAGCAGCTGTTTATGTAATCTATATGACTGCCTTCAAACACTGTGAAAATTAATTGTAAACAAAAAGATCAATGTTGACAAAACAATGTTTATGCATGAAATATTCATATTGATATGCTAAATGTGCCAGAATTAACCTGTATGCAAGCAGTAACATATAGGTAATTTAAGAGTGTGGACATGTTTACAGACCAGTGTACTTTTCTGAACACCTAAAAAAACATATTTAAATTAAATAAAACTTACCATTGCAAAATTAACCTTAAGGTCCTTTTTCTTCAACTCTACTCCAGTAAGCTTGGTAAGCTCTTTTTCAATCAGTTTAATCTTACCAACAAAGAAATAGAAGTGTTAAAATAATAATATTAATAACAGAATCTTAAAATAACCAATTTTTGGATTATACTTTAAAATGTTTATGTTGTCAGTCGCCAGTTCCACAAGTTTTGGTACCATAACTGACTGTTAGGAATAAATTCTTTTTAAATTACCAGTTTTATTAAAATTTATTAGACTACTAACAGCCTAATTGTTTGTCCAGGGAGCTGTAATGTTGTAGGGAGTGTGCAGGTTCTCAAGCTGCATTTTGCAGTCTCGATGCTCAAATCAAGAAAGTCATGAAAATTTAGTTTTATCTACCTGTTTTAAATATAATATCTAACACACAGACTATTTTTATAGTTAAAACATTTAGCAATTATAAAGTGGATTGCAAAAATTTAAATAAAAGTGGTCTTTTTACAAAGAAGAAAATGATCAGTAAAGCTTTTTTAATTTTGAAGCTATAATATAATGTAGAGAATATGATCTTAATGGTCCTAAATCTAATTATTCATAGTATAATGCAATGATGGAAATGTTTTTGATCTTTACAAAAACATCAAGAGGTACAACATGATAGGCTCATTGACAACCACATCAAATTCTTCTTAGTGTACATACAGCATAATTACAAATTAACTTCTTTTCACTACTGACTTTAATTACTCTTACATAGTACATTTCTAATTTGGCATATCCCATATTTGATAAGTACTTACCTCCAATGGTTTAATGCTGCCCTTTATATGCAAAATTGTTTTGTGCATGCCACAAGCCTAGAAGCTCCCATTCATCTGGAATTCACTGATTCAAATATGTCTCGCATGCAAATCATCATGCAACAAACCTCCACCAATAAGAGTGCGACACTCTCTCTTGACACATGTGACTTCCTCTATTCAATTCTACAGAACAATCACTTCAAGTTTTGGCAGAAACTGGAAGCAGCGGTTTTCAGTGGGGAGGAAGAGTGGGAAGTGTGAGAAGAGGAAAGCACCTATTGGTAATACATTTTCAGTATAGGAAAATTATAACTTCTGATACAGCGCATTACTTCTGCTCACTTAAATAGTTAGAATCCCACAATGAACAGGTCGAGGGACCGGTGCGAGGGAAAGAAAGAAGCATCCTTTGAAAGTGTCCAAAGAGCACTCCCAAATAGGAGATCTTCGAAGTCAAAGATCATACGTGGGAGACTGCACCACTTCTGTACCAGGTATACTCTTCACTTGGTGTGGAAAAAAGTGTCACAGATATGAGCAGAAATAGGGAGTACCACATCCATTAGGAAAAGAACTATGGTTGGATCGGGATCCAAACCACATGATACATGAATCTCAATCCTATAATACATAAATGTTGGTGAGAATAAAAGGATGTTCCTCCAGGTGTAGAGTGGCTAGGGTGCAACTGAATGTACACGGTAAGTCAACTACATCCAAAACCCAGGCTGCTGGGAACTGACACCTACGAAGGAGTAGGATGAGGATCATACGCTGGTAAGTCAACTACCAAAACCTGGCCAATGGGGACTAACATTCACGTGAGGGTAGGAAAAAGATTCATACTGCTAATAAGTCGGTTACAATAAAAAACTCAGGCCACAGGGAACTAACATTCATGTTGGGATAGCAAAGAGGATCATACTTGCGGCAAGTTAACTACAATCCAAAATCAAGCCATCAGGTGGAAAGTAGGAAAGAGGATCATACCCTCTTCACCTCAAGTTCATGAGACCAGAGGGAATCTCGTACCCCTAGATCTATGAATGGGACGCACGAGAGCAATGGGAGAAATTAATCAATCAATGCGGGAACCCAATATCCGGCATCGAAAAGATGTTTGTGTAATTTAAACCACCTCACTCAAAATCAGGAATACCCAAAGCATAGTAACATCCTCGGAATAATAAGAACATCGAGGGATAGTAGAAGGGAAAGAACCGTATTAATCTTCAAGTACCTCACCGTGACTCACAATACAGATGGAGTAACAGGAATATAATTGATTGGGGGAATATAGACATTTGTAATACATGTGTGAGGACATATGTTGATTGGTTCAGCTCTAAATCCAAAACCCAGCCACTGGGAACCAACATCTACATGGGGGTAGGATGAGGGATCCCAATCAAAGGAGTGAAGTGCAATTTTGATGGCTCACTCTCAAGATATATAAAATGGAGAGCAACTCGTCATCTACACCAGCAGAACATCACTGTTTCTCATTATTACCTCATTCAGGAGGATGCCTTCATGGTCCACCACCCCAGTGGCTTATAACTGGAAAGTGGTAAGAACTCCCAAACTCCAATAGACGAAAAAGGAGATGAGAAAGTGTGGTGGAGAGTCTGGAGGAATGACAACACCTGAGACAGTGCAACAGGTGACCACCAAACCCTATTTTGAAAAGTTGTCCATACCGATTTATTCCATACCAGGGATGTAGTCCATGGGTAAGTATAGTCCAGAACAAGCAAACTAATGAAGAAAACATATCGCAAGGATAAACCTACAAGCAATCTTGTGGAACACTCCATCTCAGCAGTGTGCGTTTAGTGGCCATGGAATTATAATTGCTAGGTCATCATGGCCTTACAGTGTGGCTTTGACTAGTTTAAGTATATCTGGACAGGCACAACTCACCACAGAGCAGGATCCATAAAGAAAAAGAGGGACATGCCCATGAAAAATAAGAGGCATAGATACTAAAAGGTAACTTACCCAGTCACAGTCTCATGAAAAAGTGAAGGGTGGCAACAAGTGGATGACCGTACCCCGGCAAGGAAGAAGCAACTACCTACAGCAGATCGTGGGAGATGAACGTATGAGATGTAGTCCCAGTGCCTGACAGATGAAGTACCTCAAATGGCCTACAGGTTTGATATGCAGGGAAAAGGGAAGGTGCATGATCGGAATGAAGACACCAGAAATTGATGATGGGAAGGAGACAAGGAATAAAAGGCCAATCAAAACACAATTCCAACCCAATGGGTCAGGGTGGAAGGAAAAAAAAAAAAGACAAAGCAGTGTAGTAAGGGAAGGAAATCATGGGAAATGGATTTAAAGGAAAAAAGCCTTGAAAATAATGAAGAAACCCACAGCATATACTGGACAGATAAGGTCATTTGGAACCGACTGAGAAGAAATGTGGAAGATGATAAGAAACAAAAAAGTCGAAAGGATTATATCACATGAGCCATGAAAATGTAGGTGATGAAAAACAATCCAGAACAAAGGAAATAAATCGAGCTGAAACAGCTGAGAAACCTAGATGGTTGCTGGCCAGGAAAGATCAGTCAGAATGACCTGAACCAGAGTGACATGGATGAACAAACATTTTGGGAAAAAAATTATGGAAGGATAAAAAAAAACTAATGTTATAAACTGGATGTAATCCTGTTTGAATGTATCGACAGCCAGGGCAAGTGGATGAATAACTAGATATAAAAAACAAAAGATGTTAACTACCTGGGAATTGATAAAAAATTCAAAACTTCATTTGGAGGAGTACCCCACAGGAGGCAGAGCCAGCAAAAATTTGGAGGATCGAGAGGCCATTCCTTGGGAGAAAGTGTGATGGGACAGGAAGTCAATCAGCAACAAGAATAAAAGCACCTGGAACACGACCTTCCAGAAGACGTATGTCAAGTGTGTGGGTTCAAAAAGGGAGATCTAGAGTCTATCACAAAAGCAACAAGAATGAGTTTCCCCTTGGCAAGTAATAGAAGCCACCACTGTTGAACAGTCGAGAGGAAACCTGAGTAGTCAAATCTGGACAAAAGGAAGAGAGTGACGAAAGTATAGTGGACTAGAGGAAATGCCAGGGTGTGAAAGTGATAAGACATTGTGTCTGTAGATCATTGTCCTGAAGCCTCCTACTGATTGAACCAAATACCCAACTTCTGGAGATGACCATCAGGGAAGAGAAATAATCTAGAAGTGTTAAACCCGACGTCGTATCGGATATGCTTATCTATCAACTCATACAAACAAAGAGGGAAGGATGAAAATTAAGAAAAAAATCAAATGAATGGCTTGTATAGCAGAGAACTCCATCAAATGCATTCGAGGAGGAGAAAGGATGGTCCCAATGGAAGGTTGTTTAAAAATGCCCACCAGATAGAGACTACAATGTGAGGTATGGAACTGGAAAAATATATCTAACTACCTAAATTGACTGTGGAAGCAGCATATGAGCATGTTAAGACTACCTCAATTTGGAAGGAACTAACCAAAGCTAAACATCTAATGAATGGCGTAGGTAAAATCCCCCAAAATGTGTAAGTCGGGTAAAACACAGACCATCCCACAAAAGACAAAGGGCAAGGCACAAAACTGGGAACGAATCACGCGGTGAAAAAAAAAACCTAAGATAGTCTTCCGAGAAATGGAAAATAAGAACATGTACTGTGGGCATTCCCAGACATGCAGAAATAGCCCACCAAAATGTGACTACATATGAAAACAGAGAAGACCCAAGAAGAAATTGAGGCAGAATCAATCAATCCAGAACCCCAATCAGCATTAAGCATATAAGACAAATAGAGAAAACTCATAGGTAGGACATGTAGAGAACGGGAAGTTGCTGGACATGTAAGAGATAAAAGATGACAATATCTCAGAATGAAACAAAAGAGCAACTAAAAAATAAATAAATTAATATAGCATGGCAGATACACCACGTGATGCTAAATGTACAAAAGGAGCCCCAAAAATGAACCGGAGGAGGAAAAGATCTCACCTTAAGTCCCTATTAGCAGTGAATGGTAAAGAAACACCAGTGTCCAACCAAAGAAGATCCCAAAAGTAAAGAAGCCATATGTGGAGGAAAAGAACTGAAGATGGTAAATGTCCCAACATGGAGGGAAGAAGGAGGAGGTATCCCACAAAAATCCTTAAATATAGGTGGAACACCAAAGAAAGGAAGTGGAAGGTAAACAATACCTGTAAGAGAGTAGATAGGGTAATATGAAGCTGAAAAACTAGGTAGGGCAGAAAAGGGAT